AGTCTAGTTTAGGTATGCCTCTGACTTAATCCTTATGGATTATCTTCTTAAAGTTTTCACGCTTGCATAACATAGTCTCATATACCATAGCCAAGATTCATCATCAATTATTTTTAAGCAAAGAGAATTAGTAGATTCAATATAGTTCAAATCAATCATATAAATATTGTTAATTCTCTTTCCTTCTAAAATAGTATTTTTATTCAAACTAATCACACAAATAGTTCATAAAAGTTTAATGTGAAAATATTTGTCACATAGTTCGCTAATAGTAAGCAGATTATATTTCAAGCCATCTACTAATATAACATTTTCAATAATGAAAATTTTTGAATTACCAATCATACTTAACCCTACCACTTTCTAGTGGTATTGTCTCTAAGAGTTAGCTTGTCTCCTGCCATAACATTCAAAATAATGAATTGCTTCACATCTCCAATCTATGTCTTGAGCATCTACTGTTCATGTACCATATATTCTCACTAGGCCTTTTGTGAGAACATTCCTTTAAAGTCATTCAAACATTAGATTTAGGAATTCAAGTGAGATTTGGTTCCACCTTTTGCTTTGATGAATGAGATGTATGCATGATATGCTGTGATGCACGTAATTTTGGCATCTAGATGTATCCTATGGTGGATAGTACAAGTGCAAGCTATAAGACCTAGCATGGCGCAAGAATGACACCTAACATATGGGAAGGGGTTTATTAATCTATGTGGGTTATGTTGCCTCCTCCTAGGGGTATATAATGCCTACTGTGATGATGAGTTATGTCACTGTGTTAATGTAGTTGATGGTTTGTTATTCTAAAGTGCATTGACTTTTACTCTCAAGAACTCATTAATACTTTCATAGCTTGTCACTTCTAGTTTTAATGCATGCTCACTACTATCTAACTGACATGTAAGTGCTTCTAATTTCTTAATTGATACTTCTAATTCAATATGCTTTGACATCAAGGATTCATGTTCAATTGTTAGATCAATATGCTTCTTGTTTAGTGCATCATATTTATCAAGTATAGACATATTATCCTTATCTAATATAAAATGATCTATTCTAAGGAACTCGTATTCTTTTTGTAAATTTGAGAAATCATAATTCAAAATATCATACATTTTCTTGAGCTTCTTATACGCATTGTGAATTTGTTTTTGAAACTTCAAATAACTTATTATTAGAAAGCTTACATACCTCCTCTTGATCTGAATGATCAAGATTATTATCTTCCATAACACACATATTGGTTACCTTCTCTTATACTTATGCTTTTGATGAATTTGTAGCAGAGTCTACCCAAAATACCTTATGAGTCTATTGGTTGACCTTTTTAAACTTTATCCTTTGTTCACCCTTCTCCTTGATCGGGTGAGCTTTTAGGTTGGGTCAATCCGTCCTCATGTGTCCCGACTTCATACATTCAAAATAAATAATATCAAAAGAAGCCTTAAAATTCTTTTTTAATTTACCTTTTTTAATTTGTTTAGTGCATCATATTTACACTTTTCTTTTCTTCTTAAGAAGCTTTAAATTATTATATCATCAGTGCTATGTTGCCCTCTCCTTCAACTGTAGAGCTGACACTTTCTAACTCATTTTCTTTTAGTGCTACTACTTTATCCTTCTTCTTATCTCATGCATCATGTAATCTTTAACTCACACCTTGCTCATAAGCAATGAGTGAGCCAAACAAATTATCTATAGAATGAATGTTAAGATCCTTTGATTCACAAATAGTAGTAACCTTTGTATCATAGCTATTATGAAAACATCTAAGAATTTTGTTTACTTTCTTAGAGTTGGAAAGTTATCTTCCTAAAACATGTAAGGATGTTACGATATGTGTAAACCTAGTGCACATGTTCGAAATGGTTTAACTAGATTTCATGTGAAAGAATTCATACAACATAGATTGTTTAACCTCACTGGTTCCCTCATATGTGATACATAATTTGTCCCAATTTTCTTTAACAGTGGTACATGTAGAGACTCTTATATAATCTTCTTATTTAAGAGCACAAAAAAATAGTTCAAATATTTTACATTCAATTGAGCTAAGTCTCTATCCTCATTGCTCTATTCATTAAATGGTAACTCAGTTTTAATGACATTGATAAAATGAAATGGTAACTCAGTTTTAATGACAAAAAAATAATCCTCTTGTACTAAAAACTGCATGTGAAAATTGATAGATTACATGAACGTAGACATGTGTATTTTCTAAAAATCAAATATTATATTATCAAATAAAGGTGGATGAGTAATAAAGTAATCTTCTGCGGTGTTCCTATTTTAGAAAAGTGTCATGGATCATTTTCCTCTAGTTTTTTAAAACACTATTTTTTAGTACCACTCTCATACCAATAAAAGTTCAATAGTAATGTTAAGCCTAATAGAACTTGTCCCTATGCACATCAAAAGAGGGGGAGGGGGAGGGTGAATTGGTCAATTTAAAACTAATTGCTTGATTTAAAAATAAAGACAATATTTTTTGATTTTTTAGTACTTGAAAAATAAGTAACAATATCAATTAATACGGAAGCGAACAAATTTACTAAAACATCTAAGCAACAATGATGATATTATAATATTATAATCATTAGAACAAAGCATTGATCATGATTTTTATTAAGCAATTATTATGAAATTAAAATGTAAAAAGTAAAAGTACGATAATAAAAAATAAGAATAAACACATTAGAGATTTATAATGGTTCAGTCAAATAATGACCTACATCCACTCCTCAGAGTCCTCCTCTTCAAGTATTGCACTATCACTATAGTGTCTCTTATTTTGCTCCCGCAGCAAGGCTGAAAAAGCACTTGCTCAAATCACTTCCACCAAACCTGGTGCAGTGAGGAGTCAAAAGCTTTATCATCTTCCTGGTGACAGTAGTGAACCTTCAATTATTTTTATCCCTCTTAGAAAAGGCAGAGAACCTTAAACTTATTTTTCCCCCGCCTAGAAAAGACAGAGAGCCCAAACTCCTTGTTATCTCTCTTAGAGAAGGTAGATAACCCAGACTTCTTTTCTCACCCTCCTGGTGATGGCAGAGTACCACATCCTTGAGCTGAAGAATTTCTCTCCAAAGTCACCCAAGAAACCTAGACAGACACTTGGAGGAATAAGGTAAGACACTTATCACTAGTGTCTCTGATCGTATAGTACAACCATGGATCATCTAGTATGATTAGTGCAAGGTACTTATGCTAGTACTATACGAAGAGTTAGAGGTTGTATGATTAGTTCAAAGAATTGAGCTAATCATCCAAGATGATTTATAGCATCATCCAATACGATTAGTTCAAACGACTTAGATTATCATCCCGTATGATACGTGATGATAAATGATCATCCAATATAAGAATCGATTCATACAGTACGATTGGTCAAATCGTCCTGTACAATCAAACTGGATCAATTAATTTATAATTATCCCATAATCACATGATTAATTTAGGCAAGTTTTAATTACATCATATAATGCAATACCAATTATATATTATGATTAGTACATAATTTAAATTTTAGAATATTGTCTAAATTTTGATTGGCGGCAATGATCTTGATTTTAATTGATCGTCTTGTATGATATGCATCATACAATATGATTTGTTCATCTTGCATTAATTATCATAATTAGCTGTTTTAATCATTTTCTGATTAACTGGTCGTATAGTACGACATGGATCATACAGTACGATTTATTGAAAAAAAATCAAATTATGATATTATCACTAACTCACTCCCTGAAGTGTGTATGTGCATGGTTACCAAGCTTAGTATCCACTAGATACATGATTTGACTCAAGAAAAGTAAAAAATACATAAGAATTGAAAATATAGGTATTTCACGACATACTTAATCCTAGTATACCCAATCTTGAGCTGATCAAACTTGTAAATGTATGGTGGACCTGAAATGTTAGTGCACATGAAAAAATAGATATGCAATAATAATAATTAACATGAGATAGCATTGTAAGAAATCTAATAATATTTATTATCATCAAAATCACATGACTTGGCTCCAATTTTGCAACAATTTGATTACACAGAGGAGTTGAAGCACATGTTATATGTATATGCCATGATCAACATACGTGTAATTAATATAGAGTTGGATGTAATAATTGAGTTAATTGTAAGGCGAAGTAACCACAACCATCATAATTGTTTTCGTGCATTGATTGATTGTAATTTTAAAATATTGTTATTGAATGGATATGCAATGATGTAATGAGTGTTATTTTCATTATATATATTAGATTCTATTATAGGTTAATTTATTGCATATTATATTTCATGATTACTCTATGTTATGTCAATTCTATTCGAACCTATTCAAACTATATTCGTTTATTATTTGACTCATGTTATGGTTGAATTTTTTGTGATGGCTTTATGAATTAATTGTGTCATATCAAATATTGTATGGATATCATTCAAACATGCTTTTCATCCCTACTATAAATGTTTATCTTTGTTAATTCATATATATTTTTGACCATGTTCAAGCTTTGATTAATTTTTTTAATAAGAACTAATATTTAATTAGGGTTGAAAGAATATTTGATAATGGATAAATTTTTTTCGCATATATTCTCAATCTTGATCAAATTTTATTTGAACATTGTTCGAATGCTATTCAAATCAAAGTTGATTATAACGACTTAAAGTAATAAGTGGGCCATAGCGAGATTATTTTTATATGAATGAAACTTTTGGATTTATTTTTTAATAAATATAAGGCAATTATATATGTATTTTAAAAATGATGAATGATGAATTATAAAAAAAAATATAACTTATATATGTATCATATATGTAGAGAGAAAAAAAGCTTTTACTATCACTTAGGTCAACTATTGATTTGCTCATCTCACATTAAAATTATATTATATTTCTAATTTCTTTAGTCATCATCAACTTAACCTAAAAATGCCTTGAAGTTTTCACAATTTATCAATATAAACAATTTATATTCCGCCAATCTTAAAGCAAGCCAAGCATGTAAAGCAGCATATCAGAACGGTGAGGTGCGCTCTCGCAGCGGATAATGGGTGAATTGAAACCCTAGCGGAGGCGTAGCAACCCAGCCTTATGTCCATCCCGCTTATATGACTAGGAACTAATGAACTGAGCTACAGCCTTCTACCCCGCACCTTGTTTTCGCCGATGCTGTTCTCTCTCGTCTCTTGTCGGCTTGTCGCATCCTCCGATAAGGTTTGATCTTTCGAGTTCCCGAACTCTATCTGGTTCTGCCAGCTTTCTTTGTTCCTGCAAAGATTTCATCATATTTTTGTTCGTCTAAGTTATTGGATTCTAATTCTAGTCCATGTAGATCTCTGTATGTTTACCGTTTCATGATTCTGAATTAAGGTTTTAGGATTTTGGATGTGTTTATGGTAATGTACTGTAATTGACTGATTTCCAGGGATTACTCGTATGGTGTTTTTTTTTGTTGTATGATCTGTCTTTTTTATGATTTCAGTTGTTATTAGAAAATCTTCTTTCCTATAGATAATGCTGAATTCACTGCACAGTGAGCTAAAAGATACGGCTAAATTTTTACTGGTAGATTTCTTTTCACTTTGAGACAAAGAGCTGCTATAAATAAAAGGAGGATTTACATACATACCACTTTATTCCATGCTATTTACATATCCAATTCCTAAAACTTTAATATTAAATGCCTAAATGAACCTAATTGTCAATTTAACGGGCTTTGTCTGAAATCGTCTGTCAAATGGGTAATTAAAACTTCTGATTTCTTGCTTTGCTGGCCAATAATTTTCCCTCGACAACCTATAATGTATCATTTATTCGTTCATTGTTTTTGTGAAATTAGATTTTCAAGGATTCTGTTCAAATATGCATATATAACAGATTAATTTATTGGTTAATTATAAATAAAATATGCAATATTTGTATTTTGATTGGATCTTGAGCTGTCTGGATTTGATCCAGGCCCTTTTTAAAAATTGACCTGAAGGTGGGACCAAACCAAATTGTTGCTTGTTTCACTTAACCTAGCTTTACTGAGCCGAAAATAAATTAGTTCTTCAAGCTAACCTGTTAACCTGTACACATGGCATAAAAGAAACACAAATATAATATTAATAAGTTAAAGAGAAAATATCTGTATTTTCTCTCATATTTTCTTTATTTTTCTCACTTTTATCATGACATATAATATTTTTTTCAATGATTATGAAATACCTTCTATGTTTTTATGTTTTCAGGCAGACTCTTTTCAGTACCTTAAAATTTATTTTATTTCATTTTTCAAAGTTTATAAGCGAAGTTTTAAGAAATGAATTCTATTATGCTTTTGAATTCCAAATGTTGGACTTATAGTTTTGAGGAATTCCAATATATTGACATATGTATAGAATTTAAATCAAATCACAAATTTTCTACCTCTATTCCATTAAAATTCAAATATATTTTATGAAAATAATTCTTATAAGGTTGAAATTTATAGCCAACAACAACAACACAACAACATCAAGCCTTTGTCCCACTACATAGGGCCGGCTACTTGAATTGTCCTACTCAATTGAATCATATTAAGTGTCCAATTCTCATTTAAGTTTAATTAAAAAAATGTAATTTTTAATATTTTCTAACCAAGTCTTTTTAGGTCTACCTCTACCTTTCTTAATATAGGTCAAATCTAATACATCTACTTTCCTAATCTGTTCATCTGAAGGTCGACGTTTTATGTGTCCAGACCATATAAGGTGACTCTCTCTAACCATGTCTGCCACTCGAGCTACTTCAACCTTTACATGTAAAAACTTGTTTTGCATTATGTTTCCAAGATTGAAGCCACTTATCCACCTAAGCAACCTCATCCCTGAAACACTTAACTTATTTTATGCTTCTATTTTAATGGCCAACATTCAGTGCTATAAAGCATTGTAGGTCTCACCATCATCTTATAGATTTTTCCTTAAGTTTAAGGGGTACTATTCTGCACACAACATGTCCAATACATTCATCCACTTTAATCATCCAACTTGAATTCTACTAAAAATATCCCCATTTATTTCACCATCATTTTGAAATTTATAGCCAAATGGAAAAAAATACTATTGTGTCTTTGTCTTAATGCTAGTTGTGTTAACAATGATAAAATAATATTTTCTTAGCATTTGGTTGAAATTTTTATTAAGAGCAGGTTCTGTTTGTTTTATTTCAAAAGTGACTGTGATGTGGAATCAATCCCACTACATAGGGCCGGCTACTTGAATTGTCCTACTCAATTGAATCATATTAAGTGTCCAATTCTCATTTAAGTTTAATTAAAAAAATGTAATTTTTAATATTTTCTAACCAAGTCTTTTTAGGTCTACCTCTACCTTTCTTAATATAGGTCAAATCTAATACATCTACTCTCCTAATTTGTTCATCTGAAGGTCGACGTTTTATGTGTCCAGACCATATAAGGCGACTCTCTCTAATCATGTCTGCCACTCGAGCTACTTCAACCTTTACATGTAAAAACTTGTTTTGCATTCTCTTTCCAAGATTGAAGCCACTTATCCACCTAAGCAACCTCATCTTTGTAACACTTAACTTATTTTATGCTTCTATTTTAATGGCGAACATTCAGTGTCATAAAGCATTGTAGGTCTCACCATCATCTTATAGATTTTTCCTTTAGTTTAAGGGGTACTATTTTGCACACAACATGTCCAATACATTCCACTTTAATCATCCAACTTGAATTCTACTAATAATATCCCCATTTATTTCACCATCATTTTGAAATTTATAGCCAAATGGAAAAAAATACTATTGTATCTTTGTCTTAATGCTAGTTGTGTTAACAATGATAAAATAATATTTTCTTAGCATTTGGTTGAAATTTTTATTAAGAGCGGGTTCTGTTTGTTTTATTTCAAAAGTGACTGTGATGTGGAATCAAATTGGATTAACCATAGAAGAGATCAATTGAAACCAATTCAATAATAAGATGTAAAACTAAATTAAAACTGTTTGGCTCAATTATATTCAATCTTGGCTTTCAGATTCAAGTTAAATACCCCTAAGTAATAGTTTTGATCAATTAGAAAGTTGATTTAAAAAAGAAAAAAAATAGAAAGTTGATTTTTTTTTCCAGATTGGTTCAATTTCATTGCCGGCCCCACGTAGTGGGATAAAGGCTTGATGTTGTTGTTGTTGGTTCAATTTCATATATGGACGATAAAAAAAGAGATTTATATGTTATAAATTTCAATAGTTTTTTTTTTTCTAAAATTTATGGACTCTAGGTGGGAATTAATAGATTCAAAGATTGCAAATTGTAAGAATACATTACAAACTATTAAGCCAAAATCGTTGACCCAAAGAACAATTAACCAAAATTTTACTATAAATAAGAAGATATCAAAGAAATTGCCTCTTTGATAGGGCAACTTTCCGAAATTGTCTTTTTGATGATGATTTATGATCTCTTTAATAGCAACTAAATTCATTTATAAATTTATATTTATCGATGCTGCTCTCTTTTATAGTAAGAGGAAATGATCATTTGAAAACTATGCCATATGTTACCTCAGCTTACTAATAATGGAATGATAGTATTTGAAATGCTATACTTTTTCTTTTTGGATTAAAATGGAATGATAGTATTTGAAATGCTATACTTTTTCTTTTTAGATTGTTTTTTTATATTGTTTAGTGTTTTAAGATGCTTATTTTGTGAAGGTGATGTAAATGTTAACCTTGTAAAATTATTATTAAAGTAATATGCAGGAAGAGTGATATGATGAATAAATTTATAGTTTTTTTTAATTGTAATAATGTTGATTAAATTTCATGAATTTGAGTGTCGTGTGATAAAAGAGTGCTTGTTAGTGAGCACAACAGAAATGGAATTTTCAAATATGTTAAGACATGAGAATATCTGCTTTAATATATGAGATGTTGATAAGTTTGTTAGTGTAGAAATGCTAGGTGGGGGTCTCTCATCTATAAGCTCAGGATTTTATGTTGAAAATGAGTTTGGTTATTAATCTTTCCTGGTAAATGATATTAGAGTCTATGATCTAGCTTGAATTTAGTGGTTTATACAATTTATAGCTTTCATTGCTCATGATTGCTTGTGCTATGATTGAGCAAGATTCCAGGGTTAGCTAACTTTTAGTATAGTTCCCCATGGGTGAGTAGACTTGTGATGCATAGTACTTGATTTTAGAAACTTTCATATTGGATGAATGATGGATTATGCAGAGAGATCACGTGAGTAGATTATTGCGCAAGAGTATTTGACTTAGAGTAGGGTTGTCAAAAAGGTTGATGGGTCGGGTTTATGTTCAACCTGAAATTAACCCAACTCGAATTCGGTCAATCTAAATCGACCCGCTAGCAATGGGTTAAACTGGTCATTTTTCGGGTAAAAAACAGATTCAATGGTCACCCCGAACCTAACCTGTTAATTAAATGGGTCAAAAAACCCAAGCCGAACCCAACCTGTTTATGAAACAAGTCATCTTGAACCTGATTTTTTTCGAATCAAGTTTAGATCAGATCATATATTGACACCCCTAATTTCGTGATTATTTGATTTGAAGTAAAATGGGTGTAAAGTATTCCAATTATAGAGAGAATAGTGATATTTTAGTTTGTAGTAAAATAAATGTAGTATAAATTTTTGTATATTTGAAATGCACTCTTTTGTATAAATTTGGTGTATTTGGAATTCACCTGATTGGTCGATTTCCACATAAACCATAAATTAATCACCATTGCTATCACCCGCCACCGAACATCTCCTACCGTTAGCCGCCACCACCATCCATCTTCGGCCTCCATGGTCGGTTGCCACCACCACCCTCCTTTGGCCGCCACTATTGCTTGCTGTCACCACCAACACCTTCAGCCACCATCGCAGCCACAATAGCCACCCTCACCACCAATCGCCAACCTCCACCTTCACTGCTACCGCCACACCCACTAGTCTGCTACCACCAATTTTCGGCCATTGCTCGCGCTACCACCGTGTCCACCGTTGTCGCCGGTAACCACTTGCCAACGCCGGCCACCAACCATTGACCACTATTTTCTTTGAATTTATATTATATTTATTTTACTTTAAGTCAAACAAAAAAAATTAATCACATACCTTTATTTTACACTCATCCAAATAACCCCAAAGCATTTCAAATACAATGTATGCCTTTTACACTGCTTTCTTTTTTCTGCCCATCAAATTGCCAATTAGCCTCATATTAGATAAAAAATATGCATATGTAAAAATATAATGCAGCTGGCTCTCACTTATAATCTTAAAATTCTTGGTTGAAAACTAGCTTGACTATTGGTTTATTATGCCTAATTTTGGCATATTTTGTTTCACATTAACAAAAGAGATATGTAACAAAATTACTAAGAAAAAAAGTGATTACATTAGAGGGATGGATGGATTACATTAGAGGTTGGTTTAGTCATGTATATCTCGGATGAAAAATGCAATCATAAGGTAAGTAAATAAAATTATCATTGAGGATTATGAAGAAAAAATAGATAGATCAAAGATAACATGAGTATGTATTGTTCTAAAATGATTTATGCTAAATGGGTTTAACATCTCTTCCAACATTTTATTATAAATAAATGAAGAGGGAAGTTTCATAAAGTTGACACCAAATTGGTGGGGCAAGACATCATGATGATGCGTCATAAAATTGGATTAAAGTATCTGAAAATTTAATTAGCTAACTGAATAAATTATAGCTATACAATAATTGTTCTACTAGTTGAAGACTATATTCTTACTATTTCCAATGCCTCTTCTTTCGGCTACAAGAGATGCCTTTTTGAACATCTTGATGGCCTTGCTCTGGAGGCGTATAGAAACATCATCAATTCAGGGAGTTATCATGTCCAGTGCTGCCTCTTATGTGCTCCGGATTTCATGCTCTCGTACATTCACTTGTACTTTTCATTGGTGAATCTTCCTTTTAATTTTCTTATATGCAGTAAATCATTTATGTGGATACTGCAAACATTGTCTTAAGCTTAAAATTCAAAGCTTTACCCTATAGCTTGGAATGGAATTTTCCTCTCTTTTTTCACTTGTTGGCAATTTGCTGTAAATAGTGAATAATCCTACTGATGAGCATATTTTATTTGATTGAGTTTGTTTAAGCATAATAAAATATTAGAATTAATTTGTACAATCATTTCTCTTACTTCAAGATAAATAATTTCAATTGAAATTAAATAAATGAAGTAAAATCTATTTCATTCCAAAGCTTAAATTTCTAATACGAGATTTTGATGCATCCTTCTAAATGATTTACCTTTTTTCCAAAAAACACCTTTATAATTTAAGGTCTTTTTGGGATGGCTGCAGGTTTTTGCAAATTGTAAAGCTGTTGTGGGGAAAGTAAATTTTTTAAAATTATTGTAAAAAGTACCTTTTATATAAAAATTTATTGAAAGCAATAGCAAAATAGTAACTGTGGTTGCTGTGTGAAAAAAGCAAAGCAACAAGAAAGTTCTCCCAAATAGACCCTTAAATAAGTAGATAAAAGAATCTGATAATTACGTTATATATGTAGAAAAAAAACTATTATGAGTGCGCTTAATTAATTTCTCAGCTCAAACTTTGTAATTTGTGGGTTTGATCAATAAGTACAAAGTCGTACATGTTGGCTTAAATTTTAGATGCTTAACAACTTCTTAAGTCTTTATATATATAAGATAAAAAAAGATGGCTTTTGCTAATTTATGCCACTATTCTATGGAAATCTTGATGATTTTAAGGGTTGTTTTGTTTGTTTAAATGAAATTTCAAGTAGAAGAAATGTATGGGTTTTGAAAAATTTCTTGTTTTGTGGGATGAAAAAAAGGAATGCAAAGTTATTTTTGATGTATGTTGAATTCACCCTTTAGTTCATTTTCAAAATTTTAAAGTTTGATCGATTTGGTTGAATTCAAAAACATTATGCATGTAAAACTTCAACCCTTGCTTGTGGTCACCGAGCACCACCCCCTGTTGCCCACCAGTTGTTGCCTGTTTTTTGCTTATTGTTGCCACTCATTCGTGGCGGCTACCTATTGCAATTCGAGATCCCGACCTTGTGTTTTGATGTCTACAAATGTTATTTGATGTTTATTTAGTTTCTTCTGCTCTGTACATTGCATATTTTTTTCTTATGCACTACTAATCTTTTCAGGCACAACATACACAAAGTAAGACTAATGATTCAAGGCTCAAGACTATGCTATGTTAGTGTGTGAGTCAATTTATGTTTAAAAGAGGATCAATTCTCCACCTATCACGCAATGACTCTTGGTCACCAAAGGCCTCTAAATAACAAAAAAATTTAGCAAGCTAACTTCTTCTCTCCTCCTCATTTGGAAAATAACGCTTCAAATATGTCTTCCTCATATTTGAAATTTCTAAATATTTTTGTGGAGAAACTCTTTGAGGATCCTCTTGAAGTCATTCTTTAGTTGAATGCAATATTGCCATCCCCTTCTGACATTTTACCTATTTTTATCACATAACCCCACTGAGGTTTATTATCTTCAATAATTGTCTCTGATGGACCATTAGTAGACCCAATTCCCACACCACTAGAGCTTATTATCCTACGAAGGATCGACACAAATTAATCCACATGAATTTAAAACATGAAAATTTTTAATTAAAAGTGTATATATGTTGCGCCTCTGCCGGGGGTCCAAGGGGGCGCTGCCCCCTGGCGGAACAAAATTTTATTATAAGAGTTGTTTTAAAGTTTTCTCTACCTTCTCGGTACTGCTTGGTACCATTCGGTACCCCTTTATACCGAGCAGTACCGAGCGATACCGAGTTCCTGTACCGAGCAGTACTGAGCAGGACCGAGTATCGAGCAGTACCGAGCGGTACCGAGCGGTACTGAGTACTGAGTGGTACCGAGCAGTACCGAGTACTGAGCGGTACCGAGCTGTATCAAATACTGAGCAAGACCGAGTACTGAGTTCCGGTACCGAGCCTACAATTAAGAAAACGAATCTTCAATGCTCACATCGCCTTCACTGTTCGTGTTGTCGAGTCGCTCCGTCGACGAAGGATTCTGTCGGCTTTAATGCTCACGTCGTCAAGCCTCTATGTCGACGAAGGATGATCCTGTCCACTTCTATGCTCGCGTCGTCGAGCCGCTCCTTCGACTATAACGAGGAAGACGAACACCTGTGTGGAAACGAAAAACCTAGCTCGCCGAAATGTTTAAGTCGAATAAATGAATAAGGATATCAAGCGGATAACCGAAATGAATAGGGCAAATTGCAGCTCTATTTTTTTTTAATAGGACATGCATATCCGATACGCTTGTCCGATCAAATTTAAATAATATTTTAATTGGACACGGCATAGCCGTATCCGACACGTATCCGTGCCGTATCGGAGGCGTATCCAAATGCTTTCGTATGAAATCAGATTTTGGTCCTTATTCAAAAAAGTTTTTGAAGAAATTTTGTTAAATCACAATTTCTCCCCCCTCTTGATCTTATACTATCTGAACACAACTGTGAACTTTCACTGCCAGCATTAATAACTAGTACCCACTGTTGGCAACCACTTGCCACTAGTTGATGCCATCACCGTAGACCGCAGCCAATGGTCATTATTGCCTCACCGCTGCCACCCGTTGTTGTTGGCTTCGTCGCCACCTCTATTACAGTATCCTTCGTCACTACTTCCCAGTGAGTTTATTTTACTACAAATCAAACACACAAAAAATGATGCATTTCTTTTGCACTGAACTGAATAATTCTACAGGATTTTAAATGTAATAAATATACTTTGCACAGTTTTTATATTTGCATGAAATTCTAATTACTTCATGATAATTACCAACTACCATCTGCCCATTGTCGCCACCATGGGTAAAGTGAAAGTTCACATCAACAGTGTCGGCAGTTTGCTAAATAATCGATATCTGCTAATTGTGCTATGTGTTGAAGAATGCATACTTTTAACTATTTTCCAAGCCTCTTCTTTCGGCTTCAAGGGATGCTTTTGTGAGCATCTTGATGGCCTTGTTCTGGAGGCGTATAGAAAGTTTACAAATAAGGAAGTAATCATGTCAAGTGCTCTCTACTTATGTGCTCTGGATTTTGTACTCTCCCTTACATTCACCGTTGTTTTTCCTTAAATTGAAGAACATTTTTAATTTTCTGCTGTCTAATAGACACAGTTCTAAACTTGAAATGTAATCTCACCTACTCAGCTTGCCATTTCCTTTGATTTTTTGTTGCATTCAATTTTCTTTCTATGTTATATATTGGTTTTATCTGATTTATTGTTTGATTTTCTTGAAATCTGAACATATTTATGTTGCCTGTCCAACCAAGTCACCAGGGAAAAGAAATTATTTGATTTTATGTTTTTAGTGGAAAACACTTTAGATGTTCATTTTTAAAATCTAAACACGATTATACTGCCACAACAAAGCGAAGATGCCTTTTTTCTTCCGTTTGAGAAATATTTTTTACTGTTTTTAAAAATAATTTTTTAGTATAAAATTTTTATTTAAAAAAAATTATAAAAAATAATAATAAAATTGTCACAAAAAGAAACTTTAGCCAATGCGGCAATAATCTGATGCAAGAACAGGCACATCATCCACCACTCAATGAAGATTTAGGGTTCAAGATTGGGTAGAATAGGGTATGCTAAAAGACTTTATATATATATATATATATAATTTCATCATTGAGTCTCCAATACTATTGTAAATGATATTGTATAATATTTATAGTTGAGAATGCTCGTTTGACCATTGCAGTAGCAATTTTTAAAATTAGAGTTAATTTCATTCTTCTTAGTATCTATTAATTCTTTTAGCATGTTCTCGAAATTGGCAAAATAAATGCAAAGCTACTAAATGATAAATCTCATTTTCTTAGTCTCTACCAATTTTTGAGTATGTTCTCGAAATCCTTTCAAATTTATAATAATAATAAATTTATCAAATTGGTTGTCTAATATAATGAAATTTATATTTGAAAAATTCAATGGATGAAACTTAGCCAAATTTATCGTGTTTTACCAAAAGTTGAAAATGAGTCATATGGATTCAAACATGCTACACAAATAAATAATTTTGTATTTATTTTATCCATTATATTATTGAGCTCTTGAAGTTGCATATTTATTACAATGTAAAATAATTCAACTTGATAATGATGTCTATTTATAATTACTTCAATTTTTGTCTTGATCTATCTCGCATTACAAAATATTATCCATATTTAGAATAATTATATAATTTTCTTGACAGAAGAAATAAATATCTTTCTTTAAGAAAAATGTCTCTATCATTGTTTCTCATGTTTTGGAATCTTTGCTTATATATTTTTATCAAATTTATGGGATTTATGATGTCTTGATCCTTTCTTTGCACCACCTGTGATAGCTCATTTGTGATTCTAATACAGCCTTCATCATATGCAAATTAAAAATAAATTCAAAATATTGTATAGAATTAAGAAGGCATATGTTTCATCTTTTTGCTCACTACTAAAATCATTTTGTATTATTATCTCATAAAGCTCGATGATACGTCCAAACAAAAGTATTAAATTGCTAAGTGATCCATAATGCGAATACCTATGTGTATCTCCAGAATGTTGAAGAGCTATTTTTTTATTTAAGCCTTTATCTCTTGATGCTTCACCATTTCGTAGTTGTTCAATGATTTTGTTATATTGTTTTTGCTGTAATATTTCTTCTCATTCTCATGTATGAACTTCCAATGATACTTATCAAATTGGAAGATGTATTTAAAAGTGGAGCAATTTGCGCATGATTTTTAGCCACAACAACTATTGCAAGTTGAAGTTGATATGCAAAACATAATATATAAAAACTATGCAATTGTCTTTCATGATTAAAGCTTTCAGTCCATTAAACTCATCACGAATGTTGTTAGCACCATCATAACCTTATTCACATAATTGAGAAATACGCAATCAATATTTTGCAAAAAGTGATTCGATGACTTTATTTAGTTGGAGCTGAAGTCTCTTCAACATGAACATTTTCAATGAAATGCTCAATAACACAACCTTTTTTATCTATATATTGCAATGCAACTACAACTTGTTCTTTGATTGATATATCACGTA